CCTCCGCCCTCCCCGCCGCCCGCCGCCGCGGCCGCCGTGCCGCCGCCTTTCTGCTTCTTCCCATTCTTGCCGCCGCCGCCGCCGCCGCCGGCATCTGCTGCCATCGCAAGCGCCTGCACCATAGGCAGGCCATGCAGGCGCGTCACAGCCGCCTCCGCCTCCCGCACAGACGGGTACAGCACGAACAGCACGTGCCCGCCGCAGCCGTCGGCGGCCAGGTGGGCGCGCGCCACGTCAGCGTCCGGCGCGGGGTCGGTCACGCGCTCGACGTCGCCGGCGATGCGCGCGACGGCGGCCGCGGCGGGCGCGGTGGCGGGGCTGAGGTTGCCGATTGCGACTGTCCTTACTAGGAGGTGCTTTTCGATCTGTGAGCGGGCGGATGGGCGGATGAGAAGCAACGATCAATGTGCGAATGTCCGGCTTGTCAAAAAAAGCTAAAGCCAGTGGCTGTCTCTGTGATCGGGGCGGGCGGCTGGCCCCTGCTGTGGTGCCCGCGCCTGTGCGGGCGCAGTTGCCACCGTGCTGGCGCGGACAGCACGGGGACCCACCGCAACGGCTTGGTCCTGTGCGCTCGGCTGCCTCCTCTGCCGCTTCTGCGCGCCGTCCGCCGCCGCAGCCGCCACTACCGCGGGGAGGCCGCGCGCGCCGTCCGCCCCGGGTGTCGCGCCGTCGCCCGCACCGGCCACGGCATCGTCGCCGGCGCCGGCGCCGGCGCCGCCGTCCCGCTTGCGCTTGGAGCGACGCTCCTCGAACGACGCGCGCTTTGCAGCAAACTCGACCTGTAGAGCAGGAGGATATCAAATGTGGTTGGTCTGGTGAGGGGCAAAGCAGGTGGCTCAAAAAGCGCAGGCTCGTTGGCAGCAGCAGCAGCAACAATTGCTGACTCATTTGGCATAGAATGGCGGTGATCAGGACTGCATCGTACTGGTTAGGAGGCCAGTTTAAGTGTGGCCAAGAGGTTTTGGCATGGGGCAGCGATGATAGGCACAGACAACGGCGCGGATTGCCGCGGCTGAAAGCGGATGCGCAGCGGCAGCTGCGCGCCAGGCGGCGGCCGCCGTCCGTACCTTGATGCTTCTGCCTTGCAGTGCATGGCCGTGCAGCTCCTTCACGGCCCGCTCGGCATCTTCTTCGATGGCGAACTGCACATACCCGTAGCCCTTGTGGCGCTGTTCGCCCTTGTCTTTTACGATAAAGGCCTGCCGCACCGGCCCCACGTCGTTGAATGCCTCCTCGAGAACCTTATCGTCTACATCGTAAGATATGTTGCGCACGAACACCGTCCTGCCGCGCTCTGCGGCGGCCATGGCTTCGACACGATCAAGACACGATCAAGATCACGTTGAACCGACGCGTATGTGTTGTTAATAACGGCGCAACGGGTTCATGGCCTTAGCAACAGCTGCCACATGCGCACGCCGTTTACGGGTGGTGCATCCAATTGCGTCAGAGGGGGTGACGCCAGTGACGGCACGGCTCACCACCACAATGGGCTGCACCCACGCAGCCCCTCGACATGCACCGTCCTGGCGGATGGGCCCCGATATCAAGCAAGCACTTGCGCAAAGACTGGAGGTCAGCACGCCTGGCTGATGGAAGCTGGACCCTCCTGTGGTTTGATGGTGTGCGCAAATCGCACCAGGGCACATGCGGGTGAAAAATCTCCGCCCACGGTATCGTGGCCGCTGGGAGCCTTGACGGCTGGCCATATGGCAAGAGGCAATGCGGTTAATCCACAGCTTCCAAAGTTGGGGTTACACGTGTATGCTCAACAACGATGCTGCCTCCCTCTCTCCCGCCCCTGCCTGCCAACTGCAAAGCTGAGGCCGCCGTGAAGGCACTGCACGTTTT